GGAATGATACTTAAGATTTCCATGGTTTTAGTAGCAATGTTTATACCAACATTGGATTCTGTTCGCTTGAACTTTCTGATTATTTAGTTTTTGAATAACAATAATGTAGCATATTTTGTCAAGATAAAGGATGCATTTATCATCTAATGTCAGCTTTCTTAAATTTTATTTGCGTGGATTAGATTGCCTCTTAAAATACCTTTTGATTTGGACTGTGTAGGAAATAAATGAATTTCTTTAGTATGTATAATTTTGGTATTTCAGTTACCAAGTGATGTGTTATGTCTGGCAATTTTTATTTCCATGTTTCTTTTCTTTTTGTTGACAATGTCAATGGAATATTTTTCTTCCTTTCCATGACTACTTTTTGTTATTACATGTAAAAGTAGTGGATGATTATGTCCAGAAAAAAATTTTTACTGTTCTTTGACATTGAGCAGTAAACAACTTATAATACTAATTTTAAATGATAGTATTAACATTTATTCTAATTGCAGATAATGTACATCTAAGACAAGTGTTTAGTTGTATTTTAATTTTCAAAAACAAGATGATAATGCAGATTTATCACAAATCTTTATTTCCCAAATGGAGTATTTAGATTAGCATTAAGACTTAGGATACATGCTGTTATAGTGTTATCTTAAAATTATACCTGTATTAATGGCAGGAAATATATTGATGCTGTTGATACTTTGCTACATGTTTTGTAATGAAGGATTCTTGATGTGTGAGAGTGTGTAGCAGTGCTAATAGATCTTTCTGCAGAGATGGAAATGTTTTATGTCCATGTTCTATTATATTAATACTAGCACTGTTGAGCACTTTAAATGTGGCAAGTGTGACTGGAGACTGAATTTTAATTAATTAAATTTACAAATGTAGTTAAGTGTCTAGAATTGTATATGTAAAATAAAAGGGGACTTTTCCACCCATTTATTCTTCTTTTCACAAGGCTAGTAGGGTAATCTGGGTAAATACTTTAATCTCCCTAACCTTCATTAGGGAGATAGCTTTCTTATCTCTCATTTTGAGCATACTTGGTTTTTTGCTTATTAAATAATGAAGGTCTTTCTATCCCAGGGTTCCCTCATCATTTCTGCAATGTCAAAATGATAGTGCCCCTCAGAATGTGTTCTGGCAAATTTTTTCTCTTCTCTGTCACTTGTACACCTTCCTTTCTGACACATGGAAAAGCAAAGTGATTGAGTTTTATTTCCATTAAAGGAGATTATATGGCTGAGAGATTTACTTGACATTGTACCAGGGGAAGCTGCTGTGTTATCAGGGAGCCACGTGTTAATCTAATAATTATAGTAATATTTGCTACTGCAAACCAGAGGTATCTATGCATACATTCTAGGTAGTTTATCTTCCTTGGAAGATCTGCCTTTTTAATTTTATTTTTGAAAAGGTAGGGTTTAGGTCTTTTTTTTCATTCCTTGAAAAGTCTGCATTGAATTATATTTCTATTTTCTGGTTTCTCTGTCTAAAAAAGACTGACTTCTGAAATTTATTAGCTTAGTCTGATGAGGTCAGTCAGTTCATTTAATAGATGTATAAGGAACACCTACTACTATGTGCCAATTATCTTTCTGGTGCTATTGCAACAAGTATGACTGCCTGGGTCCTAGTTATTGTTGAATTTATTGTCTAGTTAGGAAAATGGACAATAAGTATGTAAACAAATGAAATGTTAAACAATAAGATATTTTGATAGAGGAAAAGCAGCAGGATAATTTGGTAAATAGTAACTAGGCTTGGAGGTAGTCCAGTTATTTTAAATTAAATAGTTAGGAAAGAGATGGTGACAAATAGCATCCAGGCATTGACACATTATCTGATGTGGTAATCCAAGCGAATCTTGCAGAGAGATCTGAACCCTCTGCATCTTCTAAAGCTTTATATGTTTGGATCTGCCAAAAATCTCCATGAAAGTATACTCTTGATTGAATTCCTATTGATGGAATTTGGAATATTTTTCTTTACTTCTCCTCTCCTAGCATGCTCATTTATAGTAAACAAATAGATCTGTTTTCCTTTAATTCAGTTCCCCAAATATCTGCCATTTTCAAAGCAAATACATACTACTTGACTTACTAGGACTTTCAAAGACAAACTTGCAACTTGAAATTGTACAAAGCTGGTTTTATTTACTTGTCTCTGAAGTGTTTTTTGTACAATATTTAGTTCATTTTGTACCCTTATCTCAAAATAAAATATCAAACAGGGCTGGGGATGTGGCTCAGTGGTTGAGTGTCTCTGAGTTCAATCCCTGATACCCCAAAAACAAACAAACAAGACTTCTTTAGGAACAACTTCCTTCCAAGAGTTAGTATAATTTGGCAAGGGTCAAGACGAAAAAGCTCTGTTTTTTTAATTTAATGGCTAGTATCAGTTTTATTCGTAGATTTCTCTTCAACTTCATCTCTATTCAGTTAGCAACTGAATTTTTGTAGTTTTTAGAGAAAATACCAGGTAACACCTTCACAGCTTTCTCAGGCTACATTCTGTTTCCAGGAATTCTGTGTTTGCCTGACAGTTTTCATTGCTCTTTTCCTGAAGAGGCCAGATGTTCACCTCTTCTCCATACACCCCAGAAAAGATTGCTGTATAGTCTGCTGGTTAGTCACCATGAGGTTAATTAATCAAGTTGATAAGACAACTCAAAGAGAACTCTTTGGGGGCAATTATAGTTGCTAGTAGAGTTATTTCTCTTCTAATGGAATGTCTCGGGGGTCCTTAATGATAATGGCTTTGTTTGTGTGTCTCTTGTTGAAATGTGATTGGAGAAAGTCTGGAATATTTATTTCTATACTCTAACTGGATTGGATGTAGAGAGTATATTGTAGACCTGTGGAGATACTTTTGTCACTTAAATGGGAGAAGTGCTATCAGAAGTCCATGCAGCCAGTAAAAAGGATAACACAATAAGGATGTTTTAAGTGCTTAATGTTACATCTTCAGAAATGTGTATAACATTTTAAATGGAAAATGTTTAAGTTGTTGAAGTTGGAGTAAGATTAATGCTCTCTTTAAATATTATTATAGGAGCTGCCTTCTGTTGAAGAACTCACTATTATTCTGCCTGAAGATATTGAATTAAAACCTCTTGGGATGGTTTCAAGTATAATTGAACAATTAGGTATGTAAGTAATTTTATTAACAAAATTACTTGTGTCCACAAGCATATACTAATAATTAAATCAAGGGCTTTGTAACTAATAAACTTTTGTGTTATAATTATTTTATAATATTAAGTTTGAGGTATAAAATTCAGTTTTTACTTAAATGATAGAGAAGTACATTTTTTCTATAAAAATTAAAAGTCTGCATTTACTGACATACTCTCTTCAGAATTTCCTCTATTAGTTTTATATTGCCATTCTAACATTGCTACAAATGTAGTGACTTACAACAGTATAAATTTATTATTGTTATTAATTATATATGTTTTTCAAAGAACTGGGGGTTGAACTCGGGGTCCCCAAGCTTGCTCCACAGACTCTACCACTGAGCTACATTCAGTTCTTTTTATTCTTTTATTTTGAGCAGGGTCTTGCTAAGTTGTTGAGGCTGGTCTCAAACTTGCTATCCTCCTGCCTTCGCCTCTAGAATAGCTGGAATTACAAGTGTGTGCTGCCATGCCCGGCTCAGATTTATTATCTTACAGTTCTTGTAGACCACTCATGACCACACATCTGTTATGAGACTTTGAGTCTTAATGGGCAAAAATCAAATTGTCCAGCAGGACTGAGCTGCTTTCTGTAGGCTCTTGGGGAGAATCCATTTCTTTGTTTCTTTTGGACTAATGCAGGCCACATTTCTTAGCCCATGGGCTATCTTCCATCATGCTTAAAGTAATTAATGTAGCATCTTTTTTTGACCCTTCTTCCATCATTACCTCTTTTTCTGACCACACCCCAGGAAGGTTATCTTCTTTTAAGGACTCTTTGGATTGGGCCTACCTTTGTAATCCCTGGCATTCTACCCCCATCGCAAGGTCCTTAAATTTAATGACATCTGCAAAGTCTCTGTTTTAAATTTAAGGAGCATATTTCTAAGTTCAGAAATTGGAACATGGGGATATCTTTTGGGGAGCCATTCTTTCTAGTACCTCAAATTTTTATCTCACAAACATGTAAATTTGAAATTCTTTGATTTAAAATGGATATTTATGGGACTGGGGATGTGGCTGAAGCGGTAGCGCACTGGCATGCGTGCGGCCCGGGTTCGATCTTCAGCACCATATACAAACAAAGATGTTGTGTCCGCTGAAACCCAAAAAATAAATATTAAAAAATTCTCTCTCTCTCTCTCTCTCACTCACTCTCACTCTCTTTAAAAAAAATGGATATTTATGACATGAAATATGAAAAGAATGGGATAGTTTAGATATGTTTGGCTCAAAGATGTAAGGAAGGCGTGTAAGAGTCTTGAGGTTCATGTGGGTACCATTAATTTTCATGATGAGACACACCTGAGAGTAGAATGCAGCGCTAATGAAATCATAGAATTTTTGAATTGTGAGAAGGTAGTAAATTGCCCAAGAACCCTCTTAGTTTAGAGAATCGTAAGAAACACAGAAATATTCAAGTCACTTATACTCTTTTAAGATCAGTTGTCTTAAGTCATTGGTTGAAATAGGACTCCATCTTTTGACCTTTCTGACAGTGTCCGTATCAGTCAGTGTTTTTAAAAATTAATTTTATAGTTTTCAATTTATTAATCAAAATTTGGGTTACTAAAACTCTATTCATTGTTCCCACGCCATCACATGTACTAGTTTTTAAGTTTACCTTGTGGTTCTTAATAATATATATAGATAAATCAAATAGATAATTAATTTCTTATAGTATCAGCTGAGCATTTATTAGTTTTAATGTTTGCTGACAAATTATAGGTCATAGCGTTGATCCTCAAGGAAAAATCAACTGTATGATGTGCATGGAATAATGCTTTGTAAATGTATTGTGACCAACACAAGTGAAATATACTAATAAAATTTTCAACTTTACTGGGTAATAAGGAGTGAATAAATCAAAATCAACACATGCTATTATTGTATATCAACCTGTTTTGAAAGCCTAACATATCTAACATAATTTTGACCAAATTAAAAAAAGGAAAACTATTAATACATTAGGCAAAATTAATCTATGAATTCAAGTAAGACCTTAGATGAAAAGAAAGGATTTGACATTGTACGGTGTAGTTCTAAAAGCCATGCTGGGTTTTTCTGTTTGAATTTTAAAAATAGGGGCTAATTAGATATTATCCATCTAGATAGACGCAGAGAAGTGTCACTGTCAAAAATGTTAAATAACTGACATACAACCACAAAAAGAAAAATAAACATGAGACAAATATTTAAGATTAGAGCAACAAGTAAGAATAGGCTAATGGGATAATGCTTTTTTTTGATAAGGGAACTTAAATGTAATGATATAAATTACTGTGAACTTTTTGCCCTTTTTTCATCTGTTCAGGGGAAAATGTTTTGTTAAGCACTTAATTTAACATTTTTATTTGTATTTATCAGTAAATAATCAGTGCTTTGTAGGAAATAATTCCAGAGTGAGAAACCTGATTTCTTCTGTAACTACATGTGATTTTACTATTTTTGGCAAAAATTGACAAAATTTACTCTTGGATTTTTTGACTTCTTAATGAGTGATTCGAATTTTCTATTATATTTTATATTTTTCTTTTTGGAATTATAAGTTTTTGTGTTAAATATCACAGGTTAGCTGCCTGTGTTATATGATTATATTTTGTTTACTGAAGAGAAATAGTTGCTAAGGTGTATGTTACCCCACCTTAAGTTTTATTTTAAATTATGTTGTAATTAAAGCATAAATTCTCACCAAAATTCTACATTATCTTTGGATTAAATCTTGAAATAATTTTTTTTATGTTTTTCAGTAATAATTGAGTCTATGAATAACCTACCTCCAGTTAATGAGGAGACTGTAATTTTTAAAAGTGATCGACAAGCAGCAGGAAAGGTTTGTAAAATTCAAATCCTACAAATTATTGTGTGTCTTTTTTTTTTTTTTACTTCCCCTATTGGTGCTAAGAAGAGTTTATTAATTTTAGTAGATGAGCAATCTAGAGCTCTCATATTTAATATATTCTTGATTTCCTTCAGTCCTTTATAAATCTGTAAATTGGTTTCATACTGCTATCTTTGCTCCATGAGTCACAGAATACACACACATAGCATTCTTACCAGGTACTTTGCTAGGCTTTAGGTATACATACTGAATAAGACACAGTTCCCTGCCCTCCTAGTTTGCAGAGCTGAGTGAGGAAGACTTTCCTTAGGGTACTAGTTCTCAGTCATTTTTGGTTTGTGAGTCCCAGTGAGTTTGTGACTCAGTTTTTAGATTTTGGCCTTCTCAGGTAGAAGCCAAGAGCAGAGTCTGTTTCAAGTGGAAAAGATTTCAGGGACAGCAGTGAAGTGTCACTGTAAGTACCCTCTAGGGAACTATGAATATGTGTATTTTCAATACCACCATAAGGTTCAGTCCCTTTTAACATTTTTCTTTTTTTTGAACTGAATATGTAACCCAGGGCATTTTACCAATGAAGTATGTTCCCAGCTCTTTTTATTTTTTATTCTGAGACAGGTTCCAACTAAGTTGCTTAGGGCCTTTCTAAGTTGCTGAGGCTGGTCTTGACTTGGGATCTTCCCATCTCGGCCTCCTAGTCACTAGGATTACAGGCATGTGCCATCACGCCCAGGCCTTTTAACATCTAAGTAGTAGAACAACCTGCATGTTCATCCTTAATGTGAAAAACCACATACTTCACTAAGCACATAGGCAATTTTGACAATAAGCATAAGACATAAAATCTAATAAAATCAAGCATATAAGTACTATCAGGCATAGTGGCACATGCTTATAATCCCAGTGGTCCAGAAAGCCGAGGCAGGAGCATCCAAAGTTCATTGCTAGCCTCACTAACTTACTGAAATCCTGTTTCAAAATTATAGAATGGCTGGGAATGTACCCCTGAGATCAGTTCCCAGCACCGGGAAGAAAAGTATAAGTACTAACCAAGTGTTCATTTTTTATGTGACAATAGGGACAGAGTTTTTTATTCACCTCAATATTTCAATGAATATAAATAGTTCTTTCTAAGTTTATGTTCTAATAAGTAAATGTGTATTGACTTGGGAGGAAGGGGGATAAGTAACCAGCTGTTTTTCTGGTGAAATAACTTATTGGGGTTTCCCAAATGAGCAATAATTGGCTTCTTCTTTTCTTTTCTTTTTTTTTTTTTGTTCCAGGAGTTATACTTAATTTACTTTAAATCAAGAAAAACCAAATATTTTAAGTTTTAACTTACACAGCCTTTTTGTTTTCAGTAACTTTTTCTGTTGTTCATTCTAACACAACTTAGAAAGTGGTCAGGTTTTTATCAGTGTCCTGCTGCCTTTCACCACCTAAATGTATTTTTTAGGTTGACTGGCCAGTTAACCAAAGCAGTGAGTCACTCAATTGCAAAGCAGTTGGTAGAAGAATTAATTGGAGTGAGGAACTAATATTTTTGGCATTTTTTGAGAAAGTTTGTGAGGGGAAAGAGGACTTGTTAGTGTCTAAAGGATGGTAGTGTGGCTTTTTATTTTTGAAAGTGGGTCTCAGAATTTTCAAATTTTGAAAGAAGTACTGAAGTATATAGTACAAACTCTGCTAACTGCCAATGCCTTTGTAAAAGATTGGAGATAGACTGACCTCTGGGTGGGTTGAGAGAGAAAAGGAATGGGAAATGAGCAGATGATCATGATGGGAAAGGCTGTTCATGCCCATTGGTCCCCTTTTGTAGGAGAAACCTATTTTCTTCCCTGGCAAAAATCAAAGTTTTCTTTCTGCTCTAGAGAGGAGGAAAAGGGGAAAGAAGAGCCGTAAAAAGAGGGGAGAAGAGGCAAGGGAAACATAGTTCTTAATTTTCTGAATAGGACATTATTGAAGCTGAGCACTTCTTAATTTCTTTTATTATGATATTCATGATGGTTGCCTTTCTCTCTTACTAGCTAATTTTAATTTCAAAATACCCAAACAATTTGCTAATTAAACCCTCTAAACTGACATTTTATATCCCGGATATATTTGAATTTTCAGACCTTTAAGTGTGATTAATAATAATCAGCTTGTGTCATTTGTCTTTGAAAGGAGCAGTATAAAAATATAATAGGTCACTAACTTTACTTAGATGGCATAAGGCTTCAAGCAAAAATTCAGTTTATCTTTAAATAAACCCAGGAAGCTTTGTAAATTTGAGAAATGACAAATCATTAAAAAATATTCATTATAAATCTGAGCACCTTGAAATGATTCCCCAAAGTAGTGGTGGTGATAGGAAGGGTTAGAATATAAAACAAACCAGTGACCAAGATATGAAATGGATGTGCTTTAAGCTTGTTAGCTATCTTATCTAGATGCATAACATGAGCCATTGCTCATGCTTTCTTTGTCCTCTGCTCTTCCTTAACAACAAAAATAATCAGCCACAGTGATATTTTATGTTCTTTGTAGCCCACCCCCATCCTGTATTGGAGATTGAGCCCATAACCTTGTGCATACTAGGCAGGTGCTCTATCACTGAACACATCCCCAGCCCTCCTTATTTTTTTATTTTGAGACAGGGTCTCACTAACTTGCCCAGACTCGCCTTAAATCTGAGATTCTCCTGACTCATCCTCCCAAGTCCCTAGGATTACAGGCATGTGCCACTATACCCAGCTTCTTTATCTTTTTAAAATTCACTGACACCCACATCGTAAATATTTATTTTTTGCATTTAGCTTGTCTGGGATCTTTTTTGTTCCCAGAAAGAATTTTGTATTTTGATAATTATCAAGTTCCCTGATCATTGAAATATTTCTTAACCAGACCTTTTGGGTATTTACCAAAAAAATCACATGGAATTATCAGAATTAATCCATCCATTGCACTGCAGTTCAGAAGCAAGGATATTTTTTCCTTCAGTACATTTTAAAACTGAGAGAAAACTTGATAAAATTGAGCAAAATTGGCCTTAGAACTCAGTTTCATTTCCTTCCCACCTCCCACTGCCATCCCCACTAATGTCAGGAGGATAATCTCAGATTACTATTTCTAGATTTGCCCTTTGATTCCCGTAATGATTGATTCTCTTTGGTAAGTATTGGGATCTATTTCCCTCTCAAATATCACTGGCTAAGGAACTTTTACTGATTTTTTTTTTTTTTTTAAAGATCAGTTTATATTGACAGTCTTTGTAGGTAGGATATGATGGGTTCCTGAAGGTCTCCATGTTATATGGATGCAGTGTTGTTTTTTTGCCTCCTTCAGTTCTCATGGATACTTCATGTTAACTTGTGATAGGATACACACAGTGATTGAAGTAATCACTTGATTTGACCAGTGACTTGGGATACCCTGCCTGTCTATATTCTTTCATTTTTGTTAATGGGGCGTTAAAAAAATCACAAAATGATTGATATAAGACAATCCTGAAAGGGTATGGAGATTAATTTTCCTCACTTGCATTCACCTTCTCGTAGTGTAGTAAAAAATTGGCTCAGTAGAACAGGCCAGCAGCATTTTAGAAGGCTTGGCCTTCTACATGCACAGTCTTCCAGTGCTATTCCTGGTCCTGGAGATTCCTGGATGTATTTCTTGTTACTTAGAGAATCTGTGACTTACTAGTCCCTCTTAGACTGACTTTTATGTGTGTGACATGGTGTGTTTGTAGAGAGGGAGAATAGGGTGGTGCTCATTCTCCCTACTAGAGTGTTTTCTGTGCCTGTCAGTCTGCTGGCTCAGGCAGGCCCAGCACATACACTTGCTGGGACTTTGGCCATGCTGTATACAAAATGTCTTAAGCCCAGCCTATCCTGTGGAATGAGAATTTGAGGGACTGCATACACTTCATTAATACTGTGTTCCTCAGTTTTTTCCCAACAGATTCCATGTTATATCTGTACCATGTTGTGGTAGTGGTATATGTTAACTTCTGTGTGACAGAAATCCATTGTATGAGCACTTCTGCTACAGAATATGTACTATTGATTAAGGTATAAAGCTGCTCAACCACCTCAAAGTAAATGTCTCCATTGTTACTATCCTAAATTTTTCTTTTCACACTCTCCTTGCAGTCTTTTATTTGTTTTGCTTTTATTTCAAGTTAAGTTTTTTGGAAATTACAAAGTTCCCAAAGTTACCAAGGAGGGATAAAAATTACTCATTGTAGAATTGTATGAGAAAACATGGGCTGGCCTGAGCTCTGCTGTGTTTAAAGTTTCTCCTCATAGTTTAGCAATCAGATATATCTATATTTTGCAGTTGACAGTTACTTAAAGTATTATCAAATTCTTTTTTTTTAAATAACTGTTTGCTAAATTGCTTAAGTAGACTTGGCCAAATTTCCTGTGACTGTTTGAGGTAGGGGTACAGGTCAATATTGGTGCATGCCACATATCAATTTCACAGCTCAACTTTCTGTTTCCTCTTGAATGTGGTATTATTTCACTTAAAAACTTTTGATGATTCCACTATAGTTGTGGCTCATAAGCACTTCATTGTGTAAGAATTTGAATGTCATTTACATTTTAGTTCAAACTACATTTAGTTCAAACTCTGTAACCCTGTTGACATAATTTTTTTTATAGATAGGCATGTGCCACTGTGTCAGCTAGACGTCTGTTGTGTTTATATAAACCTCTCAAGGATGATTTTTTGTTGTTTTATTAGATCATTCGTTTTACTTTTAAAATTTTTTATCAGTTCTAAATTATTGATGTTAATTCAGAATACATTGGCATTTTAATTGCTTTTAATGCTACTACTTGTTTTTAGGGTATAATAACCTTCAGAATGGTGTACCTTGCTGTGTTAGATGTTTTATGCCTTAGTGAAAATGAACAAAAGCTGGAATACTATACTGTGTATCACAAAATGAGAACTTAATATCAAAATCAAAGATTTGATAAAATAGACACTTTCCAGTTGGTATAAATTGTCCAAGGATTTAGTAATTTACATCAATAGCTTTAATAATTATCATATTTGGTTCTGATAATTCAGCTTCTTCCAAATCAGTTTTTAGAAGTTTTCAAAATTAGAGATGTACATATGAAGACGTCCATCATGGCATCATGTCTTCTATTGGACAACTTGGAAGCTGCCTGAATATACAGTAACGAGACAAATTAATAAATTGTGCTATATAGCCATTAAAATTATATACATAACTGCTTTTTAAAAAGTCATGGTTTAATTTTTTAAAATGTTTAACACTCTATGGAAACAGAAGAGTTGATCTGCAGAAGCTTACTTTAGTTTCCCAGTTATAAAAGTACAACTGCAGATAGCATCTTAAATTCAAAAGTTACCAGTTATAATATTTGTACCTTACAACTTAAATGGACAATACTTTTTAAATTTCATAATTTGCATCTATAAGGCAACCACTATAATGATTTTAATTTGTTAAGAAACAAGCTTAGAAAAAATTTTTATAAGGAAATTTGGGATAAGCTGCATTTATAATCAAAATATGAAGACTGAGTATATAAACAGGACAAGGATAAGTTCATTGCTCTGACATTGGCAAAATTATCTTATTTTAGCAGCTACAAGTGGCGTTTTTCAAAAGAAATATTGCTAAAATTTCAGATCATTTTCCATGTTAAAACGGACCTTTATGCTTCTTCTATTTTGTAGATATTTGAAATATTTGGACCTGTTGCACATCCGTTTTATGTGTTACGGTTTAATTCTTCAGATCACATTGAAAGTAAAGGTATTAAAATAAGGGAGACTATGTATTTTGCTCCATCAATGAAAGACTTCACCCAATATATATTCACAGAAAAACTAAAACAGTAAGTACTTTATTGACATATTAGTTCTTTATTTATCTAACATTTAAGAATAATTCTACGATTTGTTATCACATTTTATAGGTAGAAATCATTTGCATCTTTTGTTCCAGATGTAATGATAGCCCACTGGGAGAACATTTGTATCGTGTAAATTTTATGAATTCTAGTTCATTGTTTTTTTCATTATGTTCTGTATGTAACTACTTCAACATTGGTATTTTGATTTTAAAATGTTCCTTTAGATTTTAAATAAAATTCTGTTTGGTTTACATTCATAGAGTTAACTATTTAATAAAACTAAAATATTCACCAAGAAAAAAAGTGACTAAATTTTAGATTGCTTATAATTTGTAAATTTATGGAGAGAGACAATTAAAATATGTCACTGAGAAGTTGAATGTAAAGCTGTCATAAAAAGGTTGACCTCTCCAACAAATTAGTGCCCTCCATTTTGTCTCTATATATGCAGAATGATCCCTGTAGTATGTGAGTCACAAAATTTCTGCCTAATTGTACTCTTTCTGGTTTATTGTCTATTTTTCAAGTATTGTGTTGGCAAGTGTTAGCTGTACAGCTGATTTAAATCAGTAGAACATACTATGATAATTATATAATTTAATCTCTTCTTTTACTTTCTCTTTTTTTTGGAAGGGGGGTGGTACTAAGGATTGAACTTCAGGGGGTTCCCACTGTGCCCAGCCTATTTTAATTTTTATTTTGAGAAAAGATCTCACTAAGTTGCCCAGGCCCATGTCAAATTGAAATCCTCCTGCCTCAGCTTCCCCTACGTGTCTATGATTACAGCATGTGCCACCAAGCCCAGCCCATAATTTAATTTTTTATCTAAACATGGTATATGAGTTCAAATAGGATAGGTTTTTCTATAAAAATAAGTTGAGTGCTTTGAGAAAGCTGTAATTAACTACAAAAATATAGTCAAATTAGGAATGGAAGAAGACCACAGAAGAGGGAGGCAGAGGGGGTCTTAAATCCAAAAAGACTTTGCACTTTGACACAGATTTGTTTAAGTTTTAGCTCTCCTGTTATAGGAAATTTGAAATACGGGCTATGTATTTTTAGATATAGTTTTTCAAGGAAATTTCGTCAGTGGGTAACCTTGGGTCTTCCTCCAAAGTATTAGTCTATGCTGCAAAGCTTAAGGTCTCTATTCCACTTCCAAGTTAAATTAAGTCACTGAATTTCTTTAGTTATTTCAGAGGTGAAATTTTTAGTCTTTAATTGATTAAACTCATGTTTAAGAAGATCATAATTATCTGAAAGATAATTTTGTTCAATCTCTTCAGATTGTGTAAGGTTAATTTCCCTAAATAACTGCTAGCAGGAAAGATGAATTAAATAGACATTAAGTCATAAAGGTTTTAGTATGTTTTAAAATAATGCTTTAAATAATTAACATTTCCATCTGCTACAGATATCAAGATGCTGCTGTGTTTATACGATATTCTTAGCCTTTAACAATAAATATTTTAGCTTAACACAGGTAGTTGGAATGTTTTCTGAAAATGTTTATTAAATAGGAATAAACTATAGAGTTGGGAATTAGATCGTCCTGCATAAACCCCATTGATGGTGCACTCTGGTGTCTCTCATGGGAACTCTGTGCACTACTTAACTTACCAGCCTAGCAAGGCTAATTTAATTTTAGCTTTCCATATACTGTCTGTTAAAAGTGCTTTCAGAAATGTTGTCTGATTTTTCCTTTAGTGGCTTTTTGATTTCCTGTGGTAGATGTACTAGTTGGGGAATTTTTCCCAATTACATATTTGAACTCCAGGCTAAGCCATTTCAGGTCATGAGATGTCATATATTCCAAAAGGAATATTGGAGCTGTGTTAAATGCACAGATTGTAAAATGACAATTGAATAAATAAGTACCTTATGTAACTGATAAAAAAAATACATCATATATAATGTCAAAGATCCAAGTCAAATATTTAAAGCAAACTTGATGTTCATTTTGTGCCACCATACTGACATCTGTGCATTGATTTTAGTGGCATTAATTCCTGAGACCCTTACTTATTATCTAGTTTAAAGCAATGAGAAAGAACATCCAGTCACAGTACTTTATAATATTTTAGTGCATTTGAATAACTATATTGCTTGAAGTCATGAAATTAATAAGATTAAAAAGGTAAGATTTAAAAGTGAGGTTTAAGAAATTATAATCATATACATTATATGTACTTTTCTTGGTTTTATAGAATGTGAAACATTTCCACCAGGAGTAATTAAGTTTCAGCTCCGTTTACTCCTTCCACATAGACCTCTGATTATTCTGTCCTTCTGAATTTTCAGTGTTTCTTCTCATCCTCCCCAAATTAGTCTTTCTTTCACTTTCCGTGCTTTGAGAATCCCTGTTGAAATAAGTCTGGGCCACTTAATTGTTGAAATAAGTCTGGGCTACTTACAGTCAGTCAGAATGAGGAGAGAAGGATTTATATCAATAGCTCTAGCATCAGATCTGTAAAATCCCGGAAAAGGGAACACTTCATATCTTTGCATCTGTAGCTGCTTGAGTGACTTCTGATTTGTAATTGATGTTGAACAAACATTTCCTGAACAGAGTTTATGCAAACTTCAGGTATCACAAAAGTAAAACCATGTTTATCTGCACACCACAATCTTGGTTTCTCTTCTTAATTCCCTAATTCTAATACTTAAATGGGTCCAAATTTTGTGGTTTTCTTATGAGATTCTCATATCATCTGAAATAAGGTAAAGGACACATAAATGGTCTTTTGTTTTTTGCTATTTTTATGTATTGCAAAATTGCCAGTTGCGCTCATCTTCTTTATTTTCCATACTATTAATGTTATGTAAGCACTGTTAACAGCATATTTTTGATAAGTACTTTTTAAATTTGTTTATTAAAATTCTTTTTTCAGGGATAGGGGATCAGATGCATCATGGAAGAATGATCAGGAACCACCACCAGATGTAAGTATTAAGCTTCTTTCTGAATGTTTTATAAAGTAGGCATGACTTAAGTCTAATACAGTTTTAAAAAATAATCCCCTCATTTACCTTGTGTTTCCTGTTGTATTAACTTTGTTGGTAACTCGTAAAGGCATTATTTTATCTTATTTTTAAAGTTTTTATTTTTAGTAAATTTTTAATTGTTTTAGTAAATTCTTCAAATGGAACATGAAAACATTATTGTGAAGCTTTTCATAATATGCACCCTTCATATAAAATCATTAGAGACTTACCTACCTCCCCATTTTTTATAGCATAATTACCTTTCTGAAACAAGATCTCCTTGATTTATATTTTTATATCTATTCCAACAAGGCATGGAACGATGGGTTGATAATCTAGTCTGTTTAGAGATGTGAAATTAATTTGGGGGTAATATGTAAATGAATTAATTATTTAGTAGAATTATTTGGTTTAACTCTCCATGGAGATGTTAAAGCAGATTTTCTTGTACTTAGTTCTGAAAAATTTTTTTCAGTATTATTGATTTTTGATATTTGCAGATTCAGCTAATCATTTTAGATATTCTCAAGCAATGCCATGCTCATGGTGTGTATTAACTTCTAATTTTGTTGAGGTAGTTTTATACCCACATAGAGAATTTTATACAGGTATGAGTCACTTGACCAGGGAGGGATCTTAGCTTATTATCCACATTGAAATGAGATTATGTTTTCTAGTTAACATGTACACATGTAATGCTCTGTACACTCACTTAACATTCTCTGGTAGGTTTAGAGCATTTTATTTCTCAAATTCTGTTTCAGAAGTGTTTTGGAGATTGAATCAGATCTTGAAATATATCTCCTGTGAAATTCAGATATTCTAATACATGCCTATTATTTCCAGACTAAACATGGAAGTTACTAATTGTGATAATGTAAAGTGTTTATGAAATTGGTTTCATAAAAGATTAACGACAAAATGAAATCCCACGTGCTTCATGATGTTTATTTTTTCCAGGTGGCAGACTGGATCATGAACTGTGTTGGGATTGGATTTTGTAATATTTGTTGATGACATTTTGTAGTTCCGAATTATTGCCTGATATTGATGGTTGATTAGAATTTGTGAAGCCTAAAATAAATTATGTGCCCTGAAAATAGGAAGCTTTAACATATAAAAGAAAATTTGAGAAATAATGTACTATGAAAATGTTGGAGATGCATTAAGGTCCTAAAAATCACTCAGGAATACATCTTATTTTATATCCATTTCTAACATAAACATATGAAATTTATAACTGAATAAATGTTTAATGAATGCAAATTTGAACACAAGGAAAAGTAAATCTTAGCAAAATTTTGCCAACGTAATCTCTCTAAAATAAACTATTTCAAATTAAAATTCTTTATTTCTTCCCTCTTGCTTTGAGATGATGCATGGGTATTTAAAATGGCACAATAATGTTCTTATTAACTTCTCCAACCTTGTCTCTTTGATTTTGCTGTATAAGAAGCTTTCACTTTGCTTTACAGAATCCTTTTGACTTTTTTTTACACACCATATACTTCAGTGCCTCTGCACATATCATTCCCACTTCCAGAAGATTTCCTTTCCCTTATTTTCACAGCTAACTCATGAGATGTTTATCTTGGGTTATTTTTACCAAGAAGGCTTTCTTCCTTTTTTTCCTCTTTATCCAACCCCATAATACTTACTCATTGTATTGCTGGTTTATTTGTTTTCTCATTTGACTAAATAGTTTCAAAGAAATAAACGTCTTCCATCTGATCTCAGTACTTTCTGGTGTCTGGTGGTTGCCAGATTCAACCTGAGTTTAAAAATCTTAATACATTAAGATCAGTAATAATAAAAAAAAAAAGTATCTTATATTTGAAGGTACTAAAATTTAGTTGATGTGTTTGAAAATGATAATGGTAGGTATATGGTCTTAGTGGTTCATGGAGGATTTTATCTGGAAAATATTATATTATTTCAGCAAGAGCATACTAAAAATGCCATACAGAGACATTTACATATATTATATTTCTTCCTTTTAAGTGTGCACATACGCCTACATGTGAAAGGTAATATGTTTTCTAGTGGTAGTAGAAAAACAATATATCTGAACTAAAGATATCATGACATAAATCTTGATTTTCTGACAGGTGTAGAATGGTGAATTCCAATTCCCCGTAAAATGTGAATTTTACGCTAGTAATTTGAAATAATTTCCTCTTAGAATTTAGATCCTGTAGTTCTGTGTCTGGTTTTGAAAGCCAGGGAAGGGAAAGAACACAGTGCTGCTTCTGGTGGGAGTGGATCTACATAACGTCCCTATGATTCTTTATGCCTTAACTTTGTCTTATTTTATATTTATTGGCTTTACTGAAACCTGTTAAGAGTGTAGAATGAGACTGGCATATAATGGTTATATTAATGTTTTTAAATAAATGAGTCACAAAGCAATGTCTTATTTTTATATTGGATCTGATGGTGTGTGAAATTTGCTTAGTCTTAACTAATCAATCATTATTTTGGCATCCTTTGGCAACTGGCATTATGATCAATCTTAAGTGTAAGCTGGAGGTCAGACTTCTGGCCAGGCAGTGCCCATACCTGATGATGTAAAGTTACCTACCCAAAACTTTCTAGGAATTAATAAACCTTGATTGATGGTTTAACAGCTTGATTAGTGGCCTGTATTAATGAAGTCTTTAGGCAATTGTCAAAAACAAAGAAACTTGATTTTTTAAGATTTCTAATTAGTTGAGATATTACTGGAAAATATTAAGTACTGAAAGGAGAAACTTGTCAAGGTCAGTTGGTAAATAATAGGTCTTACAGGTTTGTTCTAAGTCTCTAAGTATGAATTGACAAATCTGTGTGATGTAAATCTACTTTCATCTGCAAGGCCTTAGACTTCAGTGATGATGAAAAAGAAAAAGAAGCCAAACAGAGAAAAAAATCTCAGATTCAAGGCCGGAAAAAACTCAAATCTGAATTTAATGAGCCAGGTGAGTGAATATAATATGTAGTCTTTATTTACATTCATTTAGATCTATATAGGTTTATCAGTAATAAAGCTGAAAGACATTTCTATGTTCTGTGTTACTTTCTGGCATCCAGGAACTATTGGAGAAATCGTGCAACATGGGATATGGGTGGGTGAGAGTCACAAGGGAATAGTTAGTGATAGCTTTTTAAAATTAAACTTTTTGTGATATAAGAAATAATAGGAGACATGCTGCATACCTTTTACCCAGTTTCCTCCAGTTGTGACATCTTGTAAAATTTGATAGTACAATATCACAGCCAGGATTTTTGACATTCATGCAGTCAACATACATAACATTTCCATCACCAGCAAGCTCCCTAGGTTTCCTTTTTATAGTCATATCCATTTCCTGCTGTCTTGCTTCCTCAGCTCATACCACTTATCTGTTATTCATTTCTCTAAAATACAGTGTCATGTGAAGAATGTTATATAAATGGAGCTATATAGCATGTTAAAATTAGGGATTTGATTTTGCCAGTGACTGTAATTTTCTTGGCATCCACCCAGGTTGTTATATTTATTATTATAGATACACTTAATAGATTTTTCCTTTTCATTGAAGAGTACTATTCCATGTTGGGACTATACCACAGGTTGTTTAAACATTCATTTATTAGAGGATATCTGAGTTGTTTGCATTTTTTGTTCATTTGGACAAAGCTGCTATAAATATTTGTATATAGATTTTTGTGTGAAAATAAATTTCCATTCTTCTGGGTCATATACACAAAAGTGTAATTGCTAAGTTATATGATAGTTGCATTACATGCTTAGTTTCGTAAACTGTCATGCCCTTTTTTTTTTGTTTGGTACTATTTTATATTGTCATCAGTAGTAACACTGGTGACTCAGCTTCTCTGCATGCTCACCAACATTTAGTGTTGTCATTTTTAATTTTAGGTGTAAGTGATCTTTAATTGTGGTTTTAATTTGCACTTTCCTAATGGCTAATAACATTGACCATCTTTTCATGTGGTCATTTTTAACTATTTACCCTCTTTGGTGGTAATGTTAATTCATGTTTTTCTCTATTTTCTAATTGTATTTCTGTTATTTTCCTTTTGAATTATTTTAAGTTTTTAAAAATAAATTTTTGTATTTGAGTCCTTTGGCAAATATGTACTTTATATATATTTTTTTCAGTTTGTAGCTTGTCATTTCATCCTCTTAAAAGGGTCTTTTACAGAACAAAAGTTTTTAGTTTTATGAAAGCCAAATTTATCAGCTTTCATTTTATGAAGTCTAATAACTTCCTGCCTAATCATAGTAAAGATTTTTTCTTTTTTTCTCTAAAGTTTTGTAGTCTTCTGCTTCACATTTTATATTCATGATCCATTTTGAGTTAAATTTTGAATAGGATAAGTGATTTGATTGATGTTGATTCTTTTGCTTATAGATGTCAAATTGTTTCTTCACTATTTGTTGAAAAGCTATGATTACTCCAGTGAATTCCTTTTGAGGTTCATCAGAAATTATTTGGCTATATTGTGTTGATCTGTTTCTGGCTTCTCTTTTCTGTTCCATTGTTATGTATCTATACCACAGTCTTTATTATTGTACTTAATGCTAAGTCTTGAAATTGGCAGAGTGACACCTCCTACTTTCTTTCTCTTTTTTAAAATAATTTTTAGCTATTCTAGGTCATTTGCCTATCCTTACAAATTTTAAAATAATCTTCTCTGTATATACAAAAAATCTTGCTGGAATTGTGATAGCAATTGCAGTAAACATATTGATTAATTTTGAAAGAATTGTCATCCAAGCTCCGCTGACATTCCATGAACATGGTACACAGTTTTGTTTATTTAGATGGTGTTTGATTTCTTTTCATTAGCATTTTGTAGTTTTCAGAACACAACCCTAATACGTTTTTCCAGTTGATTTTCTTGAGTATTTCCCACTTTTCTATTTTCAAGTTCTCTGATATTTCCTTGTTCCCTGTATTCTGTTTTTGAACTCATCCATCAATTTTTTAAGACTTTCTTTTTTTTACATATCAGTATTAGGTTCATTATAAAATTGATTTGTGAATAAAGACACATTCATGTGCAAGTTTTTTTTGTTGTTTGTGTGTGGATGGATATGTTTTCAACTAATTTGAGTAAATACCAAGAAACAAGATTGCTGTACCATATGTTAAAAGTAAGCTTAGTTATGAGAAAAACTTACAAACTGTCTTCCATAGTGACTGTACCATTTTGCTTTCCTGTCAGCAATGGATAGGAGTTCCTGTTACTCCATAACCTTGCCAACATTTGATGTTCTCAGTGCTCTGGATTTTGACAATTCTAATAAGTGTGTAGTGGTATCTCATTGTTTTAATTTGCACTTCTCTGTTGATGTATAACAGCATCTTTTCATATGCTTATTTGCCAACTATCTGTTTTCTTTGGTTAGGTGTCTGGTGTCTGTTAAGGTCTTTTGCCTATTTTTTAATCAGATTCTTATTTTTGAGTTTTAAGAATTCTTTGTCTATTTTTAATAATAGTTTTCTTAAAATCATCTGTGTCTATAAGTTGTTTTTTTAACATCATTTTCTTGATATTGTCTTTCAGAGAGCAGAAAAATTTAATTGTAATGAAATTCAGCTTATCAGTGATTTTTTACATTTAGGTCTGTTATACATGTTGAATTAAATCTTATGAAGGGTTAAGGTTTCTGTCTTTTCTTTCTTTCACAGATTCTATTTCATTCACAGATGTCTAGTTGTTTCAACACCATTTGTTGAAAATCGCCTTTGTGCCATTAAAGTACCTTTTGTCAAATATTAGCTGAGTATGTAAATTTATATACTTTAAATATTTGTATAGGTCTATTTCTGGGCTCTCTCTTTTGTCTCGTTGATCTGTTTGTTCTTTCTCCATAGCACATTGTTGTGTCTATTGTAGTTTCATAGTAACTCTTGAAGTTGGGTAGTGTTAATCCTCTAGTATTGTTCTTCTCCTTCAATGTTGTTCACTTTTATTTATTTTGATTATTATAATGTTCATATCTAAAATTTCTATTCTATTTTTTTATCTGAGATTTTCTTATTTTCATTCTTTAAAGGTGTGCATAACATTTCTTGCTGAAGCATTTCTGTGAAGGCATAAATTCTAATATCTTTGTTTTGCTCTGGCTGGTTTTTCCTTTTTTCTTGAGTTTGAAATTTTCCTTTTTTTTTTTTGGTGAGTTAATAATGTTTTATTAAAGCTTGGGTATATTGGGTATTTATGAGACTTGGATCTTATGTAAATCGTATGATTTAGCTCACATTTGTCTGTTTTTCAGATACTGTTCTAGTAGGGAAAGGAAGTAGAGCAGAGCCTAGGTTTTCCTCTTAGCCTTTGTTGACACTCAAGTAGAAAGGGGTGCCTCATTACTGTAAGACAGGGGTGAAGTTCTGACACCCCACTAGATCTTCTCCAGTGCCTGGTAGGAGTAGGAGTTATGTTGTCACTGACATCAGTAAAGGATAACCTTTTCCCACTGGGCTGAGTGAATGTCCTGACTCTGCTGAGTCTTCTCCTACACCACCTCATTGCACAAAGGGAAGAACACAGTGCTGCTGCTGGTGGAGGTGGAAGTTTTGGCTCTGTGTGCTCTCCACCATCACTCTGAGGAGGTTTTGTTACTAGGGCCATGCTCACTCTGACCCTGACACTGTCCTGGCAGGATGATTGGGTGTTTCATTACAGGTAGTCAAGGGTAGAAGTCTGGGCTGTCTGCTCACCTTTTAGAGTGTAAGTGGGATGGTGCTGTGGATGTTTCTGTGGTGTTTGGCTGGAGTCACTGTCTTCAGTGTTTTCTGTCTTGCTTTGTCCCAATCCTTGGGCTTTAAGTTTTACTTTTTCAATTTATTTAAAATTGACAACTTCAAATTTAACATTGTTTTAACTGCCATATTTTGGTAATTTTAAAAAAGGCATTATTAAAATTTCGAACAGTGCTTTTTGGTATTTTAATTTTGGTTTTATGTATATATTTTTTTTCCCCACTCAAAGGTGAAGATTTTGCTGAAGTTCATCAGAATTGGAATGCTTATAGCCCTTCTTCAGAACATTCAAAAGGATATCGCAACAGGGAATTCACACGAGGATTTTCTAGGGGTAGATACCCTCGATCTTGCCACAGCAGGCCTCCAGCTCAGCAGTTTTATAATTCAGAACATATGGTATCTCAAGAGACTTTGGGATTTCCACCTCAGAGACAAGATAATCCTATTATGCCACAATACCCCTTTCCTCCGCCTGTGTTTGACATGCATAACTTTCCACTTCCTCCACCACCTCCATCTATAAACATGGGTTGGGCTGCACCTAACATGGCACCTCATCCAATGCTTAACTTACCATACTCCTTGCCCCCGCCTCCCCCTCCTCCACCACTACCTCCCCCACCCACTCCTGGAGATAGTAATTCTTCTCATTTTGGATCTTACTATTAGGTGCATGTATGCATTTCCAGCGAAATGTAAACTTATCATATGCTAAGGATTTTTTTTTTAAGGAAAAGA